CAGGCGGGGCCGCTGCGCCCTCCCCTCTGCGGAGAAGGCCCCTGCCAGCCTACCCGCGGGCACCCACGCTGCCCCCAGGCCTGGCTAGCTGTTGACCACCGCAGCCACGTCGGGGCACTAGACCCTGCCCGGGCGCCCCCTCCCGACAGACTCACTCCTCAAACAGCTTCTTCCAGTTGCTCTGCACGAAGTTCCAGACCAGGTTCTGCCCCACGACGTTGCTGGCGATGCTGCTGATGGTGGAGGTGGCGTCCTGCCTCCGGATGAGGGTGGCGTTCAGGGTGTAGCCCAGGTACCTGCCGGGGCGGGGTGCGTGAGCGGCGGACGGGACCCAGAGTCTCGGGGCGGGGTCGAGCCCCACGCCTGGGGTCCCCGGCTCCAGGTTGGGGGGCACTCTTAAAGGGGTCCAGGCGAGGGCACCCGAGGCGCGCAGGGCGAGGGGAGGACGCTGGGAGGACCGAAGTCCGGCTGCGCCAGGGCCCCTGCAGAGCGGGAAGCTGAGGCGCCCCCAGGGCAGCGCGGCCCGGCGCGCCCGCCCGCCTCAGCGGCCTCACCTGTTGAGGATCCAGAGCTCCCTGCTGCAGGCCAGGGCCGAGCGCAGCTTGTCGGCCTCGTTGACCAGGGTGGCGTTCCGGAACTGGCCCCAGGCGAAGTCCCACTCCCGCTCGCCCCCCAGGGCGATGGCGTTGCAGTAGACCGTCGACCGCAGGTTGGGGTGGATCCTGGGGGGGTGGGCGTCAGGGTGGACGCGGGCGTCGGGGTGGACGCAGGCGGGGAGGGGCGGGCGAGGCAGGGCGGGAGCCGGTCCCACTCACGTGTTATTATCGGGGTGGCTCATCCAAGCGGCGAAGAGCTCCTTGACCATCGTGTGACACTCGGTCACCCCGTTGGTGCAGGCGGTGCTGATGGCGTTCACCTCGTTGTACCTGCCCCGGGGGACGCGTGGTCAGCACCTGACGGGCAAGCGGACGGCCGAGGCCGGGCCTGCGTCCCCCAGCCCTCCGGGTGTGTGCACGACTCGGCCGGCGCCCAAGACTCCGGGGGACCCCGAGGGGCCAGGCGGGCCCCAGCCCGAGCCTCACGCACGCTGGTGAGGCGCCCGGGGCGTCTGTGGGGACCCTCCCTGCCAGGGGACCCCAGGCTGGGCTGGGCGGCCTGAGCCCCAGGGCCGTGCTCACTGGGCCATCAGCGTGGGTGGGCGATTGGTCCAGTTGCCGGTGATATTCTGGAAATGCTGGTACAGAGGCAGGACCTGCTTCTTCAGATAGGCCTGGGGGGTCGACACGGACAGCGTCACAGGGGCACCTGGCCCCCCAACGCCCCAGGACCGGGAGCGGGGCCGCGAGCTTCCAGACGGGGACGGGCCACCGTCGAGGACGCAGCCTGGACGCCCGGGGCCTCAGGCCGCGGGGTGACTTCCCACCTAGAGGCTTCTCGCCCAACGCGAAGACGCACTCGAGACGCCCGGAAACGCGCCCCCAAAGCCCCTCAGGCCCCGCTCCCCAGACACGTGGAATGGAGCTCCCGCAGGCTGGCGGCCCCTGCACGGGCCACCGCCGGAGGCCAGGGCCACCCCCCGGAGGCCAGGGCGCCCCAAAGCTGGGCGGGCCCCAGGAGCAGGGACACGGCCTCTGAGGGCGCGCGGGGACCGTGACCGCGAACAGGCGCGCTGAGCCCGCAGACTCCAGGGGCCAGTGCCGGCCGCGACTCGGAGCCCACTCCTGTGGCCCTCACAGTGTCTGGGTCAAGGACGCAGGAAACGGGGCCTCTCCGGGGCGACCGAGCGGCGCCCAGAGTCCCCGGTGCGGGGTCCGGTTTATGGGTTTCGCTGGTCGTGTTTACGCAGCTGCAGGAGCGCGGCAGGCGCCGGCTCTGTCCAGATCCAGGCCGGGTCCCCCCACGCGGCAGGCCCCAGCGCGCCCCCCTTCGCTGCGCCCCGTACCTTCATGGGGCCGTAGACCTCGGAGTCCTCGAACATGAGCTTGAAGTAGCTCAGGCTGTCCAGGGCCGCCTGCCAGGGCATGTACTCGATCTCCTTGTCCAGGAATAGGGTGGTGTCCAGTGCCAGGGTGACATCGACCGTTTCAGCGCTGGGGACAAACACAGGAGCCCAAATAAGCCCCCCAGGCCAGCCAGTGCCCTCTTGGGGCCCAGGGCCCCAACGGCCGGCCCCAGCCTTCGCCAGGGCAGGAATGTGTGGCAGGGGCCAGGCTCTGCCCTGCCCACCCCGGCCACCTCCTTCCCCTGCTGGCCCCCACCGCACGGATGGGGAAACTGAGGCTCAGAGGCGCAGTGACATGTGCAGCCGCACCGCCCACAGACGCTGAGGCAAACGGGTGACCGTGGGCACTGCTGCTCTGTCCGACCTGCGTGGCCCTGGGCCTTCCTGCTCCCCGCTCAGGCTGTGGGACCCGGTCCCCGAGGGCCAGCCCGGGGTGTCGCCCCGCCCAGGCCCAGGCTGTGGGACCCGGTCCCCGAGGGCCAGCCCGGGGT